TAAATAAATATAGAGAGGAGCGCATGGTGATGTATACCTTTTTATTTTAATCATGTCATTATTTTAATATTAATTAATTATTATATTTTATTAAAGAACAAATTGCATGAAAAAATAACGTACTCTAATTTTATTCTTATTTTGGGTAACGTACTTTCAAAACTTCATTTTGATACATAATATGTAAAGTTTTAAACATTTAGGAACCCGAATAACCGATTGATGTGGTATCCAACTCAGTATTAAGATATCTATGCTTATATTACTCGTCACATCAGCATAGTAACCGGTTAATGTTTCAACCGGTTATCCGGGTATTTAAAAATTTAAAGCTTTACATCTTATGTACCAAAACGGAAGTTTTAAAAGTAGGTTACCCAAAATTGAAATCAAGCTCAAGTACGTTATTTTTTCATACAAATTAATCTTTTATAAAAATAAATGGATAATAGGTGATCGGTCCCTTTCAAAGATTAGTTTTTTTTTTACAAACTTTAAATATGAAATAAAAAGTTGTTAGTCCATCTTCACTGATGAAATAATAATTAAAAACACACAATAAAATGAAATTTTTGAAAATTGGATATTCTATCATACTAAGGGTGTGTTTGGTGGGTAGACAGGACATGACATGACAAAACAGAACATGATAGAACTGTTCAATGTTTGATAAAAAAAACTGGACAAAACAAGTGAAAAGACCAATTTACTCATAATGAGTTGTTTATTCTAATTAATTTATAATTTATTAAATTATAATAGAGTGATTATTTTTTATAACAAAATATATTATTAGAAAGTTTTCGTCAAAATAATTAAAATGACAAAAAAAAAAGTTCATGTAGTTTACAATTTTATAGATAATCCACTCATCTCATTTTATAGAAGAGATGGATAAGAAACCTTAGGGGCAGTTTGGTTGGTTTCCAATTAAAGTTTGGTTGGTTTCCAATTAAATCCTGTATGAATATATATGTCGGTGCAGATTAATACATCTGTAATGGGAAGGTTTTTCAATAGATGGAAGCACCATATTTTTTAATCGGGAGCGGCAGGTTTGTATAGCCAACCAAAATAAGCCACTTTTTATATCATTAGGCCACTACTAAACAGTCATGTATAGCTAACCGAATAAGCAATGTATCATTAAGCGGCCAACAAACAGACCCTTAGTGAGGGACCAAGAGTATCGTTTACTCTCAACGATTATAACAAGATCAACAGCAACAGCAAAGAAACTGCTAATCTATGTGAAGGGTTGTTGATTACCGGGAAAAAATCATGGG